CACCACTACCACTACCACTACCACCTTACCGGAACAGGCTGAGAACTACTGCAAATGAGCAGGGGGAGCGTTTGACATGTCAGAACCTGAGGCCAGGCCCAGCCCAGCCAAGCCATTTTATGAGAACTCCTCATGCCACTGTCCAAAAAGAGAAACCCTATCTGTGATGACAACCATTGACGAATAGGAACCCGGTCAAATAAGAAAACTGGAACCGGCTGAAAAAAGTCTTATCTAACAGAAAACCCTACCTAACAGAAAATCTCATCAAATAGGGAAACCCTATTCAAACAGAAAATCCCGCCGAATATGAAAACCCCACCTAGCAGAAAAACCATCTAATAGAACATCCTGTGCCACAGGATACCCTGTCTAACAGAAACCCTATCTAAGACCCTTCTACGCCAGAGCAGTGTCGACAAACAAGTGCAGAAGCGTGGGGTCAAAAGGGGCTCACAGGAGCAGGGTAGCGCCTCCTCTCCTCGTCGTACTACGACCACGACTACTACTACTACCAATAGTACTACTGCTTCTGCTTGATCATCCTCCTCCAAGTACGGCCGTCAAATCAGCAGTTGCCTGGGTGTGTGCCGACTCTTCGGCTGGTCCGACGTGGGGACCACTTCGGATTTCTCCCTCCTGGGCCGCAACTTACGGTTGAGACTGGAATTTGGGGATGACGGCGTATGTTTGATGGTGTCAACCTGTATGGCGCGTTTGATTCGACGAGGCTCGTTACATGAAAGTGAGCGATACTGCATGAGCACCACCAAAATAAGCGAGACTTGGCTCGTCAATAACTTTCACAGGCTTCCAGACAAGGATCACACCTCGGAACTTCAAGTTTGGACTTAAAGGCATGAGCGGGGAGGTGTGAGGGCTCCCCGAAATCTTAAACCAAAGACGTGGAAATACAGCTAAGGGCCCCGGGCTTTGAGCCTGTGGCTTCGGAACACTGCAAAACCGAAAACATCACACGCTCCGAAACCAAAATCCTAGATAAACACTGTCTTGAGTCCTGATGTGCTTATACCCCAGCTTTTCGAAAATCATGCAGACAATCCCTATCCGTGTAGCGGCTGTCCCTGAAAAGAAAATCAGCTCCGAGGCTCCAGTTTAGAGAGATGCGAACTGTAGCCAAAGCAGCGGCCCACATCGTTATGGTTCGGCTTGAACCTTGGCATCCCGCACTGTGGTCTTGGCTTCGGAGATTAAGGCTCCAATGAAGAGACGTGGAGCCGGGAGACCGCCAAAGTTCCCCGTTTTAGGGACTGTTGGCCGCTGCGTTGGGCGCGCCAGGGCAGAGGCGCCAACCGCCCTCCGTAACACTCTCGTCGGTGGACCACGACAGGGCCTGTCTTGTTTTCTGGTCCGGGCTTGCGACTGCTGCGACTGCAGTTCTCGAGTACATGTAAAGTTGAGAAGCCAACCTTTATGATTGACTTTTGCTTTCTTGATTTCTTCTGGGTAGTAGCATGGCTATCAATACGATCGGCGTGGGGATTGCCATCACTGCTCATGCAACCGAAATTGTAAGCTGGGAATGGAACTGGAGCAAGTTGGACTGGAAGCACTTGCCCCGTGTTTCCATGTCTCCATAATGGTGACCCTTGCAGCTGAACCCATACGTTCAATGCAAAGCGCAATAGCGAAAGCCCACAAATATCAGAAACCTAATCCCACAGCTGACCTCCAAGCCCGAAAACTAAACCTCAATCCCCAGAGACCCAGATCAATGTCCCAGCGGCCGAGGTGGGGATGACGCCATCGGGGCCAGAATTGCCTCTCAGTTTCAGGGTGCAAGCAAACTGAACATACATACTGGGTTTCTTGCCTCTCCACACCAGCATGACTATACGAGTTATACACACACAGACAGGCACCATGTCGTTTATGCGTAGATGTATAAAAATCTCATTTCATTCATAACGTGCCTGACGACAATGTCTGAGCAGCTGCGGCGGAGGTTCTTATTTTGGCTTATGCTGCTTTTGAAAACAGCCGTACAAGTACCTTCGGACCCAAGGCTGTGTGACGGCTGCTCTACAAGAAAACTTTCTGATACTTCCTGCGTGGCACTGTCAAGAAGACCTTGACCAGCCGCCTGGACTCACTCAGGACTTTGCAGCGGTAGCAGTGGTCGACCAGCTACAACAAGAACAACCCAATTCCTCAACCCAAGAGGAAGAGCGCGAGAACTACTAGGAGTTCCGGTTGCGAATGAACGGGGTAGGGTATCTGATCCCAGGAGTTTCGAGCTTCAGGCTTCATGTTTGGTGCCTTGCGGCGGAAGTGCTTAACACGAATAGGCCCGCGGCCATCATTGGGCCTGAGAAAGCTTCGCAATCAATGACCAGTCGATCAAAGCCCTGCTCCGTTGAGAAGTTCATCACTCCTGAGACCACGCACGTTTTGGGTCTACATGCCTGTGCAGACGTACCTCAACGGGAGGAGGCGTACATCTTCACATTCTGCCAGAAAACTCTCAAGCCCAGTAAACTGCGAGGGAGTTCTGCGTTCCGGAAGAACCGAACGCCTTATGTTCTCAATCCTCTAAGCTGAGAGAATATGGAAATGCCGAGGGCTGCCCGTTCTAACCCTCTGGAGGCATCTGTCCCTGAAGCCTTGGACACCTGAAGGCGAACCCTGACACAGCAGGATTCTGAGCCCGGAATCCGAGGACAGCCCTTTACAATGAAACCCAAGTCCAGAACCCTGGACAAACTTCGCTTCTTCGCTGCAAGGCTTCGGATTGGAACTGCTGCCGGGACATCCACCGCGATCTCGCAGGCTTCCGAGTTGCCATAGCCTGGTGATGGGCTGACAAGGCTGAAGCCATGCAGCCCAGCTTTCAGCGAAACTTGAAGCACTCATTCAGCCGGGTGACGCTTCTTCTCTCACGGTCCCAGTCCCAACCCGTAGTTTCTAGCGCGAAGCCATCCCAAAACTGGAAGCAATTCAACGGGAGAATTACCTCGGTTTGCTATTTGCCGTCTACTCGCGATTTCTCAAAAGCCCAAACTCCAGGCCTGTGCACCCCGTTTAACAGCAAGACAAGATGCCCAGCCCTCGTCGAAACTCCAACTGGTCTGTATCCTGTCTCTCCCGTCCTGGAATCCTTCAACTTCTGCCTTTCTGCGTCAAACCATCAGGACCTAAAAAGCGCCCGACTTCCGCCTTCGGGAAAGCCAGGGCTCTGGATGCAGCCTTCTTCATCGATGGTGCCTCGTGGTAAGCTCGATCTTACGCTGGAACAGGTATAGTCCCTGTGAGGGGTCTGGTGGTCTTGCTGTCTCAAAGAGCTGCAACTCAGACTCTACAGCCGACAGACCTGCTTGTGATAAAAACGCCGGAGAAGAGTTCTGACTGAATCGGGCCTCAGATCTACATACCAATGCCCTAATGCCACAAGGCGGGCTTGCTCAGCTCATGGACAGTTGCATCTGCTTCCACTTGAGCAGGCGATATTTTTGGGTTTAAGACTCGGGGTCTGCATCACATTCTAACTCTGAACAGGTCTCCGGGCTTGTGAGAGCTGAAAGCCACGGTGTCTAGAACCCCGACCCAGGACATGGAACTGCACAAAGCAGGCCTCCACTAGCAGCCTTACCCCCATGGCTTGTTGAAAGGATGGTCGGAGTAAGGAGGTGCTTCTAGCTAGGGACAATCCTTGGAGGATTCATGTGTAAGGGTCCCATTGAATTTCACGGCTGAGCAGTGTCGGTAATGAGGCCGGGTTGGACTCGGGCATTGGTTCAAGCCAGGCAGGGACTCAGCGACTCTGCACACCCCGTGTCAGGAGCTGGTGCTGATACTGTTCCAAGACAGTACGAGAAGAGAAAACAAGGGACAAATCAGAAGTCCAGGCCACCAACACAAGGAATTACAAAGCACGTGTATACCGAGCTCTAGATGGATAGTCCTTGCTGGGAACCCCTTTCTTGAAGCTTATCAGCCGGGCCAAAGAGCAGTCTCCGTTGGCCACTTGCCACATGGCACCGTTAAACTGCACCCCCGGATAGTCCTTTTGCTCCTGACAAGCCGGCCGCGGCTTCGCACAGGTCGCTGGCCTCTTTACCGACTGCGAGAAAATCTGGCGATCTTCGAGAAAAGAGCAGCAGCCACATGAACTAACCATGGGCTAGCCATAGCAAAGCGCTAGTACAGTGCTTTGCAAGCAAGTAGTGTCGTGACGGTGTCTCCTCAGCGTCCTCTGCATGTGATCTGACCACTTTGTCGTGTGTCACCTCGTCCGGTTGCAAAGGAAGCACTGTTGGAAAAAAACGAATGTACCATAATGTACCTTTCTTTATTTATTTCTCTGTTAACCCCCGATGCCTAGGTTTTGTGTCTAACTCTGCAAAAGAATCTTACCCATGCCTGGTAAGAAACCAGCTATATGGTAGCCCCTACCCACCATGTGGCTTTCGTTTCGAATGTCTCCAACCCAAAGAGCAAAGCAATGCAGCAATGTTCATTCAAAAGTAGCATTGCCCTTTTCGCACAATATCTGCAAAATCCTAAAATCAAAAAATCACATATTTTTGTCCAAACGCCAGAGCCAAGTTTGGATTTGGGAATTTGGGATTCTTGCATTTGTGAATGTTTTGATTCTCATGGAAATCCGATCTTCCAACAAAGCCAAAATTCCAAAAGTCCAAAACCCCAAAAATCCAAAATTCCAAATATCCAAAATCCCAAATTCCAAAGTTCCAAAAATCACAGCTTCCAAAATTGGCTCTGGCGTCTCCGCGACGATATTGGATTTTTGGCGTGTGCAGGAATTGTGCTTTCTGTGGCTGCGCATGCTTCCCTGCGCTTGTCGATCACGAGGGAGCTTAACTTTGTAAATTTTCCTAAGATGTTGACGAAAACGGTTTGAAACTTAGGGGGTATGCTTTTTCTGGAGTTGGTACTTCTACACGATGCAGGGTGTGGTTTGCACTGTATATATTCGCAACTTATGCAACTCTCACCCAATTGGTAGTAATTGCTACTATCTGCAAAGTGAAATAATGTTCACTTCTGCATTATTTATATGCAAGTCGGTAGTATTGAACTCATACTTGGGGAGGTTTCTTAATCAAACATACCATATTGAACTACTCATGAACGTTTCAATAGTCAACAAAAACTTTTCGTGATCAGCATTCATGTAGTGCAAAGTGTAGATACGTAGTGCTCAGCTGATGTTTGGATAGCATGCAATCACACTTACTTACTTGGTACCTGGCATAGACCTAATACTGTAAGTGTTCAACAGCAATGTACAAACGACTTGGACGTATTTTGCACGTGGATATGTAAGTAGCAAGGCATCTGACTCACAAAACTATACTGATGAAAACTTGAACACTTGTTCAATACAGTAGTAATAGCTAGTTGAATAGTCACACAAGACGCAATCATTGAACAGTTGCTCATCGCTGAGATATTGAAAGCAGGAACGGCATAATCATCGCTGCGAACATGCGCCGACATCATATCACATGTGTATAGACTTGTTCCAATACATCACCGGGACAAAAGTTTCGGCATGCGGAAAACATTCTCAATATACAATGGCCGCAGGTCCATGTTACATGGCCAGCGTGGCAGAGTATATAAAATAGAATGACACTACTACATGGCTCCCGGCAGAGAGCCTTTGGGATCTTGTGTGAGGGGAAACTGTTGTCTTGCGGCGGTATTATGGAATTATGCATAAAAGATGCATTGAATGTTGGGTTAACTATCAGCGAAACATAATTAAAACGTAAGTTAACCTAACTAACAAAGACACAACAATAGTTAAAGATCAGTTACATATGCCTGAACACTCACTGAATGTGTAGTACACATACGTTGCGGCACAATTTACATAGCTTTGAAGCTAAAGTATTGACTAGTATTATGTACCAGCATAATAATAGCAATGAAGGTCCAAAGCGTATACTAGTAAAATACATTAGGCAAATATCACCTGAACATGAAGGAGTTAACATATGCTAACGGTACACTAACTCAGACAACAGTGTCGGATGTTTGTTTAAGTTAGTACTAGACTTTACTGGACATAGTCACATAAGCCATCATTGAACACCAGCTGGGCACCACATGAAGATTTCCATAAATTCCAGGTAATACTATTCTGTGACACGGATTTTTTGACTGGATACTAAAACTCATCGTATTGCTACTGGGAAAACACCATCCGTGCGATATTAGTGTAGACTTAACCACAGGGCCCGACGACACAATCAGGGCCCTTGCTCCCTTGTTCATGTTCTGTGGAATGTATCTGTGGCCTTCTTGTCTTTCGATTCTGGCTGCAACGCGAAAAGAACCTGAGTCGATTTCGGTGGCAAGATGATGATGCTAATGGCGATGTCCGTTATTGTCGTTGCTGTTGTTGTTAATACTCCTGTCGCTGCAGCTGGCATTGCCAGATTAGATCTGTCCACCACAAGGCGGATGCAAACACAATGCTGAGAACCAATGTCGAATATGCATGAACTTTGTTCTAGCTATTGTGGAAAGGGTACTGTTCTAGCACGTGAATACAAACATGATTGCATCAGAACTCGCTCTTTTTCGCTATGAAATTACGCCGAAATTACGCAAAGCCAACCTTTTTCGTTTGTAAATGACGATGATTTTGGCATCACTCTCCTTTGTTTGCCGGTTGTGCACTGATCTGCAAATTGCGCGAAAGTCGAATGTTGGGTTTAATGATAGCTTGTCGTCTTACTCCATCACATGTGGCATCATGGTAAGTCGAATACATGCTCTTATGCAAAACCAATACCACAAAACGACCAAGCTGTAAGGACCAATTCAGCTCGCAATATCAAGCACATTTGAATCTCCTAGAAGTGGCAAGGTAATCTATGATACTTCTTCGAGTTCTTTCAAGTACAAGTACATCTTGCTCTTGTTTATCCAGTCCCTTTTTATGTCTGCAATTTAACCTATACCTGTATGCAGTTCAATAAGCCAAAGCTACCAATCTCGTTGTGCCATGCCACCACAACCACAACACCACGACAGCCACAATAACAACACCACCACAACCAGCAGCTGCAGCCGCGGCAGCAGCAGCAGCAGCAAGAAGCAGCAGCGACGACGACGACGACGGCGGCGGCGGCGGCAGCGGCAGCCCCAGAAAAACTCCAGCGCCAGCGTCAGCACCACCATCATCGTCATCATCACTCGCTGCCGCTTCCGTCATCCTCGTCATCCGCATCATCTTCATCGTCATCATCATCTCTCTCTCTCTGAGCGCAGCGTCCCGAGAAACGCCTTGCGAGGCTGGGAGCGGACAGGCTTCTTCAGGAGCCCGGCACCGAAGCGCTGTGCTTTGCACATCCGGTAAAGGGATGAGCGCCCCGTAGGGCCGCCTCACCCGGGCACGTATGCCGATCCTAGGAATCTTATAAACAAAGTAGAGCAAAAGAAAGAACTGTTTTCACAGATATGGAGCTACTTGGCCAGCTGTACAGGCCCGTATGTTTCCTTGCCCCCTGAGCTCTGGGAGCCCTCAAGTCGACTAGTGTTGCTAGTCCCCAATCAGTCCAGCTCATCCAGCTCAGCC